CAAGTTACACATACACTGGCTATGTGCCTCAGCATTTTCATAATAACAGAAACATGGAAAAAATCGTATCCCAAATATCCCCATCAGCAGAATTAATTAAGATCACAAAATATTCATAAGTTGTATCAATACTTTTATACATCAGTAGTAAGAATGAAGGAACTAGAGCCACAAATAACAGCATGGATGAATCTCACATAATATTGAGCAAAAGACGCCAGACACAAGAGCAAACTGTATAACGCTTTATTTTTTTTTAACATAAAATTTATTTTTTAAAAAACAAAAATTATGTTGAGAGATGCATGGATTTTGGTGGTAAACCTATACAGTAGTCCCCCTTATCTGTGGGGGATAGTTTCCAAGACCACCAGTGGATGCCTAAAGTTTCAGACATTGCCTAAGTATATAGCAGGTTTTTTTCTACACATACATACCTATGATAAAGTTTAAACTATAAATTAGGCACAGTAACAGATTGACAACAATAATAGTAGAACAATTATAACAATCTACTGTAATAAAAGCTATATGAATATGGTCTTTCTCTCTCAAAATATCTTACTGTACAAATGTAATGCCTTTTCCATCATAACTAAGCAGTTCTTGGGTACTGTAGGCTGAAACATCTACAGTTTGAGGTGTGACAGCAAACTAGCACGAGTTTCTCTTTCCTTCTTACAATTTCACAGATAGAAGAGTCATTCTTACCAAAGATCTTAGTATATATTTTTGTTTGTTTATTAAGAACTTTCACATTTTCACTTAAAGGAAGCACTTAATGGCTCTTCCTTGTCATATCTGAATAACCAGCATCACTACTCTGCTGTCTTGAGGCCATTACTGAGTAAAATTAGGGCCACTTGAACACTGAGCACTTTGATGCCTGGACAATTAATCCAATCAATCAAGACAGTAAGTAGCTAAATGGGTGGGGTACACTGGAAAGGGATGAATCTTGGCACCAGCTAGATACAGCAGGTGGTGCGAGATTTCAGCACCCCACTCTGAACACAGCACAATTTAAAACTTATGAATTATTTACTTGTGGAATTTTCCATGTAATATTTTTAGACTGCATCTGACCCCCGATAGCTGAGATCTTGTAAAGTGAAACCATGGATAAGGGGAGACTACTGTACAAGCAATCAAAGATTACCTTTTTTTTTTTTTTTTAAAGGCTTTACTTTGGGAAAGGGAGCAAGTGGGCTTCCGGGAGGCTAGCGAAGCTCTATTTCTTAACCTGGGAGGTGCTTTTTAAAGAATGATTTTGACAAACTAATAAGCTGTATATCTCTGTTTTGTGCCTTTTTCTAGATGTGTGCTCTATTTCACAATTAAACTGTTGGAAGCGAGGAATGAAGGGAAATCCTCACTCAGGATAATTTGAGGTGTCCAAGAAGCCAGGATCTGCCCCCAGGTCCATACACCACCCGCAGCATGAAGCCCCAGCCAGGGTAGCCCCTTCTCTGGTCGCCAGATCCTCTGGCACAAGCTGTCTAGAAAGTAAAATGCCTAGAACGGCGCTTGGAAGCGCAGCCCATCTGCGGCTTCCAATCACCTGCGCCTGCGCATAGGTGCCTGCGGGAGACTCGGTTACGCCTGCGCAGTCTGCACTGCTGTCCAGGAGCAGCTGGAGCCAGAGAATCGTTGGCAGCTGCCCTGTGGGCGAAGTATTAATACTTGGCCAGGAGGTGAAGTCGCATGTCCGCTGAACCGAGTTGCAGGCTACTAAAGGGGTAGCCATGTTTAGTTCCAGAAATGTTGTTCTAACTTGTGCTGTGCTTAGCCACTATCGTGTTCAACTCTGCGACCTCCTGGACTGTAGCCCTTCTGGCTCCTCTGTCCATGGGGATGCTCCAGGCAAGAATACTAGAGTGGGTTGCCATGCCCTTCTCCATGGGATCTTCCCAATCCAGGGGACCAACCCAGGTCACCTGAATTGCAGGCGGATTCTTTACTGTCCAAGCCACCAGGATTCTAACATAGGGATCAGCAAACCTATACAGGATAGACAGTAAATAGTTTAGGCTCTGTGGGCCAAGAGGGGAAATCTCCTATATTACACAAGTATTTTAGTAACAAGAGGAAAACTTATCTACAGCTTTAAAAATTGACGTAATTCGAAATAAAGCAATAATGATTAAAAGTTTTAAAGGAATAGGCCTACTAATTAAAATAGAATTGTAGTTTGAGGCTGGGGTGTGGAGGATAATATTTTCTTAATTGTGGCTCATAATTAAGTTTGAGCAAACGCCAGGAGATAGTGAAGGACAGGGAAGCCTGGAGTGCTACAGTCCATGGGGTCACAAAGAGTCGGACACGACTGAGTGACTGAACAACAACAATCATTAAAACTCAAATATGATGTTCATCTGTACAGATCTATAGTGAGATTTTTACCCACTTCTTTTTTAAAGTGTCTTTTCACACAGATATGTAGTGCCAGATATTGATAATCTGAGATGATTTCAGTTGACCATATTCATCACCAGAAAATGGGCTTCCCTAGTGGCTGTTCCCCAGGTTGGTAGGTGCCCAATATGCTACCGGAGATCAGTGGAGAAATAACTCCAGAAAGAATGAAAGGATGGAGCCAAAGCAAAAACAACACCCAGTTGTGGATGTGACTGGTGATAGAAGCAAGGTCCGATGCTGTAAAGAGCAATATTGCGTAGGAACCTGGAACATCAGGTCCATGAATCAAGGCAAACTGGAAGTGGTCAAACA